GTAGTAGTAGTAGTAGTAGTTGGAGCAGCAGTAGTAGTAGTAGTAGTAGCAGTAGTAGCAGTAGTGGTAGTAGTTGTAGTCGTAGGAAGAGTAGGAGTAGGAGTCGGAGCAGCGGTAGTGAGTGTTAGTAGCAGCCGTCGCTGTAGTTGTAGCCCCAGTCGTGGTGTAGTGGCAGTCATAGTTGTGGTCGATTTCGTCTCGCAGTAGTCGTCGTCGTACTCGTGCTCGTCATATGTCTCGCATTAGTCGTCGTCGTATTCGTGCTCGTCATATGTGTAGAAGTAGTATAGCACCAGCAGCAACAACAAGGCTGAGGATTCACAACAACTTTACCATGCTTTGCTGCAGCCTCCTGCTTGACGCGCTTGGTAACGCTGGAGGCTTCCAGAGGGACCCTGTCCAAGCGCAAGCGGCGCCTGTGGGCAGAAGTACCGTTTTTTGTTTGGGCTGCTTAGTATGAGGATCCTGCAATTTGAGGCCAGTACTAGGATCGTCAGATCAGCTCTACGCATTCTAACTCTAACTGCTTTCTGAAGATCCCAGAAGTAAGCATGGTACGGTTTTGAAGAGATTCAGTTCTCTCCGGCCGAAGCAAGGCAAAAGCAAGACTGGCGACCAATGTCATCGAAAATCACGTCATGCAAACCTAAACATAACCTGAACCCCTGACCCTATGCACTTTAAGCCCTCAACGTATTTCGCCTTTTCTTCCTCCGCTGACGGTTGGCAGCCACGTGTGCAGGCACACTCACTCGATCCAAACCCAATCACTTCGGCTTGTTTGGAGGCCTGGGAAGTGTCATGGCCTGGCATGGCCCGTCCAGGGGTGTCAGCGCCGAGAGTACCTGAGGGAATCCAAATCGGGTGGGAGTTTGGTGTCCACGCCATCAGGTTTGCCGGGAATGGAGAACGGGAGGTTTCCGTCTTGTGACAGCACGGGTTGCAGCACGAGTTGTAGCCTGCATAAGATCGTTGAAAGCCAAGCATTTCGGCGCTCACACTCGGACAGCGCCGCCTCAAGACTTGCGGAACCCCACTTCGTGTGACTGAATAAACAAAGTGAGTCTAAGACGTTTTACATGGGCTGCTGTAGTAAAGTTCGGGGAAGGGTCCTGTAGCTTCCAACAACTGCAGCGAATTGGGAGCGTGTCTTTGGGTTCCCAAGACCTGCACCACGCGCTGCATCTCGTCCAGAAGCATCTGATCGGCGGGCTCCCAACCGTCGTGGCCCAAGCTCCTGGGTATGGAGGTTCCAAGGTCTTTTTGGTGAGCTTGGAGCTCCAGGAGATCACAGTGCTTACTTCTTTATATTGCTTCCCTTCCCCCTGGACAATGCAACAGGTGCATTCGGTATTCACATAACATGTAACAACAAGCAAAAAACTTTGTAGAAGCCCCTCCAACTCGATCAAAGGGCAGGGAAAGCGCACGTAGCTCCGAGGACACCTGCCGCGAGTCGCACAGGATGCTCCAGGCAGCCAGGCGGTGCGTGCAAGCGACTGGAAAGGCGTTGCCCCCTGGTTCAATTATAGGGTTGAGGGCGGCTTTTGAATCTGAAGACGGATTGCGCACGTGAGGCTGCGATCCCAGAGATTGCCTATTGTGTATTATAAGAAACTCTGGAAGTAAGGAGCCTAAGTTCAGAAAGCCAAAGGCACCGGCATAGAGCACCACTCGCATTAGCCAGCCCGGAACTTGGGAGATACACAAGGTGGAAGGTGCTGTCTGCGATGGCCGTGGTCTGCTCGTCTTGCGATTGCCCCGCTTGTTCGGAGTTGTGGAGAAGTCCAGCACCGCACCCACGGAGTTCGCTCTCTTTGCTCTGCGCTTCTTGACCCTCAGCTCTGACTTCACGTGCTCTTGCTTTATGATGGACTCCTGTTTCATCGCGCACCCGCTATGCTTCAACAGCGTCTTGCGCTTCCCAGCTCTGATGCTGCGGCTCTGGCGAACGATCCTTCGCAGCTTCTTCCCCCACTGGAGCCACCTGGACCTGACGATGCAGGTTTCATGTCATGCTTTCCAGCAGCCATCGAAACCACGCACCCCAAAGCTGTGGAGTTTCCCGAACACCTGGACTTGACATCCTCACTGCACCCTGAAGCTCCGAGGCGCAAGAGTCCTTCCACAACACTCAAACCCACAAACCCGTGTAAAAAACTGCCAATACACAAAAAAAGACTGCGCAATTTGAGACACATGGACAAACAGCGCGCAAAACCATTTCCGATCTGGCGTGGGGAGCGAGACCTTCGCCCGGTGCTGGCAACGGATTCATCTTCCTGGAGGGGGCTTCGACAAGCTTATGCTTACACGATGATCTAGGCCGGGTTTCATAACTTACCTAGGAGTTGGTCGAATGAGGGATACTTCTCAGTATTGCTGACGGATTAAAAGCGATCATGAAGCATAGACCTGGTTCTCTCGAGGAGTAGGTAAAGCAACATATGTCCATGACGAGTCCTAGGCACAGCAACGAGAGTCAAGTGCAAGTCTCGAGTTGCAGCTTCAGTGCCCATGATAAGAGAATCTCTATATGACATGTCTGAGACTCCAAGCGAAAACACAGAATGCTTCAAGACCGTCCGAGCGGCAACTTTGATTACACCATCTCGCCAGCGTGGGCGACCCTTTGATGCCGGGGACTGCAGAAGCGGATCCACGGACACAGGCGATGCCGGAGGCTGCGGGCTGGAGTGCTCAGGGGATACTCCAGGCGAGCAAAGCCGTGTGGAGGTGGGCGGTGCTTGTGAGGTCGACCGCTTGCGCCATGCAGAGGGCCGTGAGCTCGAACGCTTGGGCCCTGAAGGCGCTGAAGGGCCAGGCGTCGCAGGCGATGCTGGATGCCGTCCGAGGGAGCCTGGCCGTGCGCGCGTTGCCCGCGCAGGCGAAGCCGATTGCTGCTTGGCCTCCTCTTCCTCGTCGCTGCTAATCACCTGGCCGTCGCGGAACCTTGTCCCCCCTGGATGCATCACCAACCAGCTCCATTCAAAGTGCCCTGACTCGCTCGTGTTCTCAGCTTCAGAGCAAAAAATGTGTACCTGCATGTGTGAAAACATAGACATACATGTATACAGTATATTGTAAATCATATATTATAATTTGAATATAAGAGTATTTTCCCTCTCGCTCTGACGAGGACACGAGGTGACTATGGCCAACCAGCTCAGAAATTTTTTTAGCGACCGCACGTGTACACGTCATGCATTCAATTAAAAGAACCGGTTCAACGAGCCCAGGCCCGGCTCCACCCGGAGAAAGCAAAGTGGACGAACCAGCGTAGTGTGCTGCAGCAAGCTCCACCTCGGAAGCCCTGCTCACTAGTAAGTATGTGTGTGTATATATATATAGACACACCTACACATACGTGAAGATATATTTATATATACTTATACATATACGCGTACTTTTGTTTGCATGCATGCCAAACAGATATGCATCTTGCTATCCTGCCTGGATCTCGATCTTGGAGGGCGAGGCTTGGGCTGCCTTGCGGTTGTCCAGTCGATTGCGCAGCCTGCCCTGCAGATCCCGCTCCGATGGTTCAGGCAGCTTCGGCGGGTTCACCTTGGGGTCTTACTTGGCCAAGCAGGAAAAAGGCGAACGTGAAAGAGCTCACGATAAACTCGCGTGCACGGTAAAACGAGAATCAGCCGCAAGGTCAGAACACCGCCACGGAAAACTTTACGAACGCAAAGAGACATTGACATTCGGCATCAAAGTCCTGTTTTAAGTTGATGTGGCAGTGTCGCACATGCCGAGTCTTTCGATATCTTTCGTCGGGTCCGTCTTTGTATGTCGTGTGTGTATGTCTGCGTCCTAATGTTCGTGGCTTTAGTAAACCATTCCTGCCGCACCCCGTTTGTGTGACAGACACTGCGAAAGGACCGTGAATGCTGGTGCTAATGACATGTAATGAATGCAAACTGGCATTGGAAGATGTAAGGGCAAACAAGTTAGATCCATCAGCACAGTGAGCAGCGGAATACCACCCACCCTCAGACAGGATGGGCTTAATCCAGGTGGAAGCATCAACCTACTCAAACCCCGTTAGCACATTATGTTCTCGGACCATTTTGGGACTGCTCTGCTCCAGTGCAGATGCACACCATCACCACAAGGAGGGCGACCTCTACAACTGAACACCCTGGCAGCGCTAACGTAGGCCGACCCATAGCCAAGTTGACACTTCACACTTGTTGCTGCAACTGTCCAGCATGTGTACAATTCGTTAAATAACTATACACGGTGGGATAGAAAGGTTGTCTGTCACAGTGCAGGGCCAGCGACAATTCGCAGTGAACGAGGCATGTCCAAGGCAACCAAACAACCCAATGTACACCAGATCAAACATGCACAGGAAAGTTGCAAAAACGCCGCCAATGTTCCGATAAAGAGGAACCTTTGCAGAAAGTCCAACCCGCGCTCCATCAAAAAGGTACATCACGCATGCCAATCTGCCGCCAGATTCGGCACATTGAACAGAGCCAGGAGTTTCCAAGGAAGCCACATCCAGGAAACATGCAGAGGCATCATGGGTCTGCTTGAGTTTTGGCATATCGGATGTACCAACGCAAAAGCCCTCTCGACAGGACAACAACTCAAATACACCACGCTGTATAAGATACTATATAAACAGCAATCCCTAGCCATCCCTAACCTATTACGAGTAACAGCGCTGTGCTTGCCGGCCAGCAGCGACAGGGTTCCGCGTTGCTTCCTCCACCGGCTTACGGTACACCTCGGTCCAGGCTTCGGGTCTGGGGATCAGGTTTATCGGATTTGAAAGCTGAAGGGTGCTAGGGAGGTTGGGGTCAACTTATGTATCTTAATCTTATGATCTTACAAGGCCCAGTAGCATTGCCGTGTTGCAGTTTGGATTTTGGTATGGCTCGGCTGAATATAGGGTGGCTCTGTACGAGCCTTTTATTCTTCGGGGATGAAGATTGGTGCTGAAAGTGGTGCCGTCTGCTGGTACCTGGGTAATTGAACCCGAACTCGGCTGCTTCGGGTTCGCGGGCTTTGGGCACTTGGGGGCGTGCTGTAGCCTGCTCTCAGGTCTCACCGGTTCGACACAGGAAGGCGGTGAGATTATTGGGCACATTATGGCCATTGTGGAGATATGTGGAGCTTTTGGGGTACTTTCTGTGACTTCGGTTATGGTGCATTCAGGCAGTCTCTGAACAATCCGGAAATCTCAATAACAAGGGAAAACACGACATCGCTAGGCCACGAAGTCCTGGTTTCAGCTATCGTCACCGCGCATAACACACAAAGCTGAACCATAAAAAGAAGTCTTCACTCACACGGAGGGGTGCCGTCACACCACCAACAGCCTAGCAGACCCTTCATGGCGGATTTGGGGTCGCAGCGACAGATGCCAAACCCTGAAAATGACCAGAGGGGCTTCACACTTGCACAGCACAAAGAATGAACACTGTACGTGCTAACTCGTGCTACAGGGAAGCACAGCGATCGAGTGCGGTGCTACCAGGTCACACTCTCGTTTTGACCAAGCAACTTATGTAAATCCCCAAACAGTGCGAGAGCACCACGACCATGACGACGAAGACCACCAGGACCACGGAGACCAAGGGAAGACCACCAGTACAAGATGACCGGGACCCCGGGGTACTGTCGGGAATCAAGCAGGATAACGGCCAAACTGCTCCCCACCACCATGCTTCCCCCTGCTACTGGCTTACTAGCGGGTTTCCCCACTGACACTTGTCGTGCAAGCCCAGTGTGTGCCATATTGTCTGGGATACTCGAAAAGATCAATGGATTCTGCCCCAACCTTCTGAGCTTGCCTGAGTCGCTTGCCAAGATCTTGGCACGGGGTTTCACACGAGTGGCCTCGTCAAAGTTTGGGCGTCGGTCGTGTCAGGAGCCGGGGTTTATCGAGATTAGTTGACCTGCTTTAGGACTCTTTAGGACGCGTTGGATGTTAACTTTTGGCCTTGTCGCTCTATTCTGCTATGCGGTTTAACTAGATTTGAAGTGCCATTGTGCGCCATTGCTTGCCAGCAAATTCGGGCTCTGTACCGGGATTTCGGGCTCCCCCAAATCCCCGACATCCAGCAGAAAAGCCCAAGCGTCATCGCATTCCTAATGCCGCAGGAGCATGTAACATCGACTCGTTTACGGACCTTTGGGATTGCAAGGCATAGGAAAAGGGCCTATGATTCAGGGTTCAGGTTTTGTGGCCACGGCTGACATTAGCGGTTCGTACAGCTTGCTAAGCACCGAAAAAGAAAGTACACAACCAGCTCAGAAGCCTAAACGCGTACAGAAGGAGCCATACCAGCCCCCTCCCCACAAGTAGACACCCCTTACCGGCAAATTCAAAGATATTGCAAAACACTGTATACATCCGCCGGTCAAACAGAGTAGTAACGATAGTAACGACTACTAGCAGGTACTAGCAACTAGTCGTATTACTAGTACCTTGGCAAACCCTGCAACACGCAACAAACCCTGTACTCCCCAGGTAGTACTTCCAGCGTCGCACACCTGGAGACCCGCCATGGACAGCCGTGCTCGAGCCAGGCGAAGCCTTGCAACACAAAGATGCTGAGCACCAGTCTGCCTTGAAGCTCTCAAGCCTTAGAGCCTTCCGAATGGACGCATTCTGGCTTACCTCTGGGTCTGATTCCCCACTCCTTTGCAGATTTTGACTCTTTGAACACAGGTGCCCGTCAAGGCTGCAGGTTGGATTTAGGACTGGCGCCTCCAGGGGCTCGAGCCACCAATTGAGCTCAGAAGCCATATGGCCCAAGATCCAACGACCCTTTCCCGAAAGGACACAGTAGCCAAGCTTTTGTCCGCACATAATCACAAACCAAAAACAAACTGTGCACATACATACATGCATACATACGTACAACATACATACATACATACATACATACATACATACATTTTTAGCACTCGCACTCGACGCGTCAGGCGAGGTGTAGGGGGAACCATGTTACAACCTCAGACCAGGTCCTTTCGACCAAGTCCAGCAAATCTGCATAACTTGACCTCTGCATAACGTGACAGCCGGCAGTGTTCGCCAGCACAGTACATCGAGCAACTGAAGCATTCCGCCGACTTGCCCAACCACAAAGGAGCTAGGCACTGTACTTCATGCATTGCCATGTGCGTCGATACCCCTTCCAAGCCCATCATACCGCCTCCATGTCCAAGGTCTTATGCAACCACCGAAGCAGAAAACCACCAGCTGAAGGCAGCAAACCTGAGTCCTAGCATGTCCCTCATGACGGTTCTCGTCAGCACAAAGCAGGCCCCAAAGGAGCTGCAGCTGTTTCAAGTGAACTGTGCACCAAAGTCGCCAAGCTCACATTTAGTCAGTGCCAGCAAGGATAGCAGCCAGCGAAAGCGGGCCCCCAAATCGTTCAGGGCCTTCCACGCACTTGCATAGCCAGCCTCTCTTCTCGGAACCAGCGCCATGTGACCCCGAGCATTGCATTCCGCTGTGTCCACCAGAAAGTTCGCAGGAGTCGTCAGCACGAAGCAGGCCCCAAAGCAGCTGCAGCAGTTTCAAGTGAAATGTGCACCAGAAGTCGCCAAGCTCACATTTAGTCAGTGCCAGCAAGGATAGCTGCTGTATGCAGTCAGCGTAAGCGGGCCCCCAAATCGTTCAGGGCCTTCCACGCACTCGCAGAGCCAGCTTCTCTTCTCGGAACCAGCACCATGTGGCCCCGAGCATTGCATTCCGCTATGTCCACCAGAAAGTTCGCAGGAGTCGTGTATGTATGTATACATACATACGTACATACATACATACGTACATACATACATGCATGCATACACTGCAGACAGACAAGCGGACGGACAGACCCGCAGACAGACAGACAGGCAGATCGAGCGACCAACAAACAGAGAGACGGACAGAGACAGCGGACGGACAGACAAACAGAAAGAAGATAGAGATAGAGACAGACACAAAACACACACACACACAAATACTCAAAAAAACACATATGCATAGGTATATATGTATATACACCTGTTCTGTACATGCATATATATATACATACATACATACATACATACATACATACATACATATATATATATATATGTTATACACATAGATACACAGTTACAATCAACAACACCATTGCTGATCGAACAGCTACACACCATGGCGACAGCAGAAACAAGTTGCTATCCAAAACATGCGCGCGCGATACTTCAGCTTCCCCGGCCAGGCAGCACGTTGGAAGCCACTTCACTGCCAACGCTGAATCCTTGTCTTACAGAAAGGCTTCGGGCAACTTGAAGCATGCTTCAGATGGGAAAGGTACTTGATGCAGGAGCCTGAATAACAAGCACAATCAGTGCCAGTCGTCCAGACATTTTTTGAGTTTGTCCCCCCCCCCCCCCGGAATTTCTGTTTACATTGCTTTGGCCCAAGTTGTGCCACAAGCACCTGTGACTAAGGTGCGGTGGTTGAATACCTTAGTGGTCAGACTAGGGTTTCAGGTATCTTCTACGTAGGGGTAAAGAGACTTTCATATGCTGATTAGAATTAGAAGATTTTAGACGTCTCCCGAAAGCCTTGAATTTCGCTAAAACTGGAAGCCCCGACCGACCGGATGTTCATGGAAGGGGGATGTATAGGAGCACAGGGAGCTGACCAAATGTGATTCTCACTCAAAGCCTCTCAGCCCCAGAGGCCCCAGAAGTTTGAAAGGAAACGAGACTGAATCCGAGAGCTCCAAGCTCTCGCACCCCAATATCTATAGAATGTCGAGCATCGTTCTCTCACGGACTTCGTGGCGAGCCTTGCGTGCGCCCTCGTATCCTGCTGGACTCACAGCAGCTTCTGGGAGGGACCTGACTTTAGTTTTATGTTGCGTCTATCGGGCACTGCAAGACCGACACGAAAGCTGCAATCGGGCAATCTGGCAAAACACCTACAGATACCCACCCATGCGCGCGACGCTAATATCCTGCGCTTCACCTGGTTATTACGTACCCTCACTGCATCCTCTGCATGAAAATCAAACATTCCGATTGGCGTCCCTGCGTCCTCGCCGGCATCAAGGTCGGAGCGTATCTCGTTCGCAAGCAAGATGGCTGCACCAACTTCATCCTGAGTCTAGGGTGCTGCGGCTTCGGACTCTCTAGGTTGGATTTAAGGCTTAGGGGGAATTGCTCGGGTGCTTCTTCAGCAAGGTGGTCGGTTTAGAGGGCTCAAGGTTTGGCACAGGGTCTCATGGCATTGGTCTTTCAAGTCATTCTAGGCTCTGGAAGCGTGTCTGGCTAGTCCCATGGTCCTGGGTAGTTAGATAGTGTGAGAGTTTTTGATCGAAGACTTATCAAGCGAGACATAGTTGACATAGTTTGAGCAGAAAACGAGGTGTCCTGTGTCCATAAACTCTTAAACTGTAGTTGGTTAAGACAAGCAAACATGGAAACACAGCGATCCATTGGCTGTCCTGCACCGGCCCTGTCAGGAGAACGCCAGAAACGATATCCATGCAAGACCCGACGGAATGCGATTTTGACACGCCGAACTGCCACCATACACCCTCGAACAGTAACCCCCATGTACCGAAACCTTATCGCGATCCTGAGTCTCTGGGAAAATCTCTTGTTTGCATCTGGGCTCATTGGTGCCACGAAATCTTTAAAAAGCCATACCTACCCGAACATCTAAGACCAGGTTCCTCGACCCCACGTGGGCGACCACCGGAGGACCTGGTGATGCGAGGCTCCCGGCACTTCCTGGGCCGCTCGGACGTAACTTAGACACATGCATATGCAAAAAGGCTACTTAGATCTTAGGCTTCTTGCATATATGTGTCGCAATTACACGGATACATACCCGCATCAGCACCGGAGCAGACACAGGCGGCAGGCAGTCAAACAAACAAATGTACTCAGGCAAACAGGCATGCATGCACAAGCGTGCATGGCCTAGTGGAGATGTCAGACGGGCAAAATGATGAAAACCTGCGAAACCTAAGGCGCCCTAAGGTGCCAAGGTCAAACACTGGAAGCGGCTCGAAAGGGCTTTCTGCATTTGGGAACCTTGAGAGCGAGTGACCCAAAACTCAGCATAATCATTAGCTCTCTTCCTGCCGAGAATCTTCTTTGCAGGTGGTTCCGGCGGCTCGTGTGCGGCTGGCATGGACGGGCCTCGGCTTTATGGGGTTGGGTTTAAGAGTTTGAGCTGCGCTTGCTTCAGCCACGCGTTGAGGGTTCCCTGTTGTGCTGAAAATCAAGGCCGTGGCAAGTCAGTTCGCTGCATGCTGGTGATACTGCCACTGCTACTGCTACGCCTGCGAACACGCGACAAACATGACGACACTACCGCGATTCTCACTATGGCAACCACGAGGACGACAGCAACGACCATGACGGCAAGAGTCATACTGCCAATCTCTCTCGGAACGTTGTGCCTGGGGAGCTTCTGAAGGTTGCGAAAACCAAGCCGGGTGTCGGGTCGTGGCCACATTTTGTGCAAGGCCCCCCCCCCCCCCCGCAAAGAGCCCTTGGAACAGCACCTTGCCATCCGTCCAGGCGCTGCAAACACACAACAACTTCCAAAACGCTTCCAGGACTGGATTCTCAAGGTACGGTATCCGGTATCCCCAAGACTTTCAGTCATGAGTGCCTCGGAAGGTGGGAGATCTGGAACAGGTACGGTGAACCGACGCTTGTGTTCCAAAGCCTCCAACACCTTGACACCAAAACCCCCAAAGCCTGCCCCAAGCCATCCAAACCCTTTAAGCTAACGCCGCCGCCTTTCGCCCTTCACTGCGTTGCTCTGACCCGAAAGCCTCTCGGCCTAGGCTCCCGGCTGGCCACCGCCACGCACTTCTTTCGCGTCTGCCAGGTCCTGAGCTTGGAGAAGGGGCTTAGGTCGTTTTGCACGCGGAAGGGCCGAAAGGGTCTAGAATTCAGGGTTTGGGTCTTGGCGGTTCTGTTTTCCTTGGCGTCTTAAAAAGACCTTTTCCCATGTCTCCGTGTTAACTTCACCACCTCGTTACGACCTGGTTGACAGACTACCGATCCGTCCTCCCTCGGCCGCACGCTCCAAGCTCTCATTCTTGTGCCGATCTTTGCCGAAGCAGCTTTGCATCAACGGAATGGGGGTTTAGGGCTTCGGCGGCTTGGCTGAAGGAATGTACCTCTTTAGCATTTTCTATCACTGGGCTCCTCGGGCCGGTTTAATCCGTAACAGAGGGTGGCAAAGGCTTGTAAAACGACTGGTGGAGTGCACTCACCTGAGGATCTGAGCGACCACCTTACACCGCATGAGGAGCACTGTGGAAGCCAAGCGCTGCATCACAAAATCTACGTCAGCCCCATGCCACAGGTTGCACAAACTACGTGTATGCCCGGTGAACACAATTTCCCCGACGATGTTTCCATCAGTCCCGAGGCTCAGGGTGACACCAGCCATGGAGAGACGCGCGCAAGAGGCCTGTTTGGGCTGTAGCTTTGGAAACTCTGGCTTGAACCCCAGTCCTAACACAAATAAGCCAGTCACTAGTCCCGAAACCAGAGACGAACAATCGTAAGTCTCTGCAAGACCTGCAACGCCACGTCCGCTGTCTGCGAGCCGATTCCATACCTGTAGGACTGTAGGTGGGGTTTCGCATCCAACAGGCACCCTGCAAGCTGGACATCAATCAGTTTAGGCTTCAGAATTGGTTTTCGGAAGCTCGTGATTCAGGATTCAAAGAAACTGAGGCATGCAAGTTCGACGGGCCGTCGATTGTTGAGCATGTGTAGACTCTCGGGCTTCCGCCCTTTTACACCCACACACACACACACACGCACGCAACTACCTGGACTTGCCTGGCAAGGAGCTCACGGTGGCACTGGATTCGAAACATAACCCTTTCTGCCAGAAAACGGAGTCATTCTAGACATTATCAAAGCTCAACCCAAGGATGAGCCAAGGTTTTCATGCAAGGTTTGGGCCTGAGCTCATGCGGACGCAGAGGCCGTCCTGCAACTGCTGCATGCTACAGACTTCCGAACCCTTGCCCAAATCAAACTCGCACATGAAGCAACGTAGCTCTATGCCGTATGCCTCGATCTGGCAGCTACTGATACCATGGTGAAAGACAACTATTAATACTTAAAACTCGCTGGTGCAACTACGATGAAGAAGCAAGTGACAACTATCTGTCTGTTGCTGCTGATTAAAATGTGCATCACGTCTGTCGTCTGTTCGCCTGGTTGATCACCACGCGTCAGGACTGTCAAAGCCGAGGTTCAGCTTGCGAAGATTCTGCACGCTCTTGCCACGCATAGGTGGCAGTTCCACCGACTCTGCGCTCTGAGTGAGTTCCACCTGCAAACATCGCAGAGCAGGATGCCACTGCAACTGTGCAAGGCATGCATACACTATACTTGTGCCTGGATTCGGCGCGCCACATCTGCCGCAACCGCCAGAGCGCGTTCCCGGGCTCTGGGGCCAAGTTCTTTGGCCATGACACGGAAGCAGCTTGAGTGTTGCTGGCCGCGCTCGAAACAATGCGTGCTATGCGTGAATCTTTTCGCACGCTATTGTGTACCGCGGTAATGAACGGCTATCAGCAAAGATGCCAACTGCACACAGGCGGAATACCGTCAGGCCCCGCCCCACATGTTGTAGCTTAACACCATACCTAGACGACACAAGGTACTAACAAAAGAACACATGTAATGCTGACTCACTTAGGCTTACTCTGCGAGGCTCGCTCACATCCGACTTTTTCCCACAACAAACACTGGCATATCGTATTTCAGCCTGAGGCGAAGCAGAAACCCGTGGCAAGAACTCAAGAAGATCTGGCCAAGCATTCCGTAAGGCTATACAATTAACTTTGTATTTCTGCCGGTGGCACAGGAAGACACACAGCACTAGTGACACCGGTTCACAGGCAGGTGACAGCAGACCGAAGAATGTGTAAACCGCAAGCCATGGCAAGTGATAGAAAGGTCTTCTCACGGAAACGATTCAATACCTATTCAACCAGGCTCTCTGATGTGCCGGTAAAAACACCATCCGCTAAATAGAGTGCCTGAAAGAGTTGGAGACTTCAGCTACCGACATTGAGCCGCAGTGGTTTGCACACCCCCGTGACCCAAGTGGCTATGCCAATCTCAAGGAAGGCGGACAATGATATCACACCGGCTCGCCACAGGTCGATGAAAAGGAGGAGCCACTGCCGGACCAAGACTGTCGCACTGGTAAAAATAATGGATGTCGCGGATATTTGCGTGCAAAGGTTGGGGCTTGCCGCTTGCTGCATTGTCTCTTCTCTGAGCGGCCCCCTCCTCAGACAATGCACCACGTATTCCGCCAAGGTGACCCCCCGGATTGGGCCGAAGTGGTAGAATGCCGTGGCCGCGCTGATCAGGCATGGGAAGCATGGCACGATCGCATGCTCGTACAACGGGCAATCCTTCACACTGATGGCCTTCCCATCCTTGTAGCACTCGAGGGCGGCAAAGCGGGTATCATACCCCGTGGCACAAACGATCACATCACAATCGACCGTCTCACCACTCTTCAAGACCACTCCGTTCTTGCAGAAATGGTCTGGATCACCCGTGACTGGCTTTACCTTCTTGATGAATGAAAGCTGACGGTCACACAAAACGCCGAAGTGAAACTTCGCGCCGTTGAAGTGCTTCGGCCACCCGGGAGATCCAGGCAGAATGATGTACCCGATCAGCCAGAGTCCGAACATGCAGAAGCTCGGGGAGAAAAGTGCACAAAAACACACACAATAGGCAGCAAACGGCTCTCAACATGCCCAGGACGGACCTATCGTGGAACATTGCATCATGCCGCCAGAACCAGTAGGTTTCGCGTCAGAGCCAAGTCACATTCTCGTAACCTGCGATTTGGAAAGCTTGTATCATATCACACCCCGATTTCCCAGCGCCGAGGACCAGGACGGAGGCTTTGGTATCGATGATCTCAGACATAGTCTTCTCCTTGAGCTGGTTGCTGTGAAGCAACTTTCCACTGAAGCCGCGATTGGGGATGTTCGCCATGCTCGGCGAACCACTCATGGAAGCGAAGATGACATAGTTGTACGGCCTTCTTTCCTTGACACCGAATCTTTCTCCACAGCGAGGTGTGCGACTTGTGAATTGGAATCATAGTACACCTCCTTCACGAAGGTACTGCAGCGGACGTTGGATTGCAAACCACTTTCGTCGACGAAGTCCCTGAGGTATTGTTACATCTCGGCAGCATCGGCCTTGCCGTCCATATCACTTGACTTGCCGCCCGGAAAAGGAAGGAACTTTCCCTTGTCCAGGGTCATTTGGTTGACCCAGCGCATGCTGTGTAGAGGTTGCTGTAGGACAACTCCGGACTCCAGGTGCCTCCGATCTCACTGTTCTTCTCGTAGATGTCAACATGGACATCCTTCTCCTTGAGGCCCTGTGCACACTGACGACCCGACCATCCAGCGCCGATGATGGCGACACGACCTGATTGGGTGCCGTCCTGCTTCATCGCGCAGGCTGCAATGCGAGCTGGGCTACAGGCTCTCTTCGGCTGCTTTGGCCGAGAAGTTTCGGAGCTCTGGCATGGTTTTGGGCTTGTGGCATGGCGTTTGCGCTGCAGTCAAGGGTCATGCGCCCAAGGAGGCCCTGCGTCCTACTGAAACCCTCGGCTCTCTCTGTAACACAGACTGCCTGAATCCTTCGGTTCCTATGCCAGCAGCCTCAGGTCACACCGAAATCCGTGCTCTCGGCTCCTTTTTGGGCGCTGCCGCACTTAGGGCGGTTGCGTCTCAAGTTGCCGTGAGGGAGCTCACCATCGGGCACGGAAGCTGCGCCTGCGCTTCTGAAATACGAGTACAGGCTGGCCTGTTGCGAAAATCGAACTAAGGATCAAGACAGGGACGAACAACGGAAGAAGAGACATGTGGGAACGCGAAGCAAAGCAAATGGGTATCCAACAAACAACAATTTAACGATGCCGTGCGAAAGTGGTCGCCACGATGTTCATCATGGCCCCATTTGGCATGGGGCTTACTAGTTAGCAATTATGAGAGAAATAAGATTCGAGCTGATGGGCTCAGCGGCACAAGTCGTTGTAGAGCACAATCACTTGGTTGTAGGAGCCATCAGCACACAGTGCTGGTCACGAGCAGTCGGCGCTCATGCTTCGGTAGTTATGGCAGCAGCAGTCCTCATATGATAGGCTTACTAACGAGTCATGAAAAGTCACCATGCCGTAATCAGAAGCACTACCTGCACCCCGTGTAAAACTTTGCAAAGGCGCAGGTTACATGAATGCCAAACCTTGTCAAGGGAAACGAAAACTAGAGCATGAAAACTGACGGAAAACTGCGACCCTCAATGAAGGGCCAAATGCCTACGGGGCCTACAGCCTTAGCGTAAGCCCGTACACCAAGGCATGGGTGCCCACACCGACCGTCCGCCTACGCTCGCCGAAGTCGGGCAGCGATTTGGCGCCGAGCACGAGAAAGCAAACTGCAGCGATCGCAAGGTTTGGGGCAGGGATTTGAAGTTGTACCTGGGTGCTGCTGCTGTTGTTGTTGTTGTGGTGGCTGTTGCTCTGTTGTTCTTGTTGTTCTTGTTGTTCTTGTTGGTCTTGGTGGTCTTGGTGGTGGTGGTGGTGGTGGTGGTGGTCGTGGTCGTGGTGGCGGTGGTGGCGGTGGCGGTGGTGGTCGCGCTGGTCGCGGTGGTCGCGGTGGTCGCGGTGGCGGCGGTGGTGGTGGTGGTTATGGTGGTTATGGTGGTTATGGTGGTTATGGTGGTTATGGTGGTTATGGTGGTTACGGTGGTTACGGTGGTTATGGTGTTGGTGTTGCTGCTGGTGGTGATGGTGCTGGTGCTGGTGCTGGTGCTGGTGCTGGTGCTGGTGCTGTTGCTGATGCTGGTGCTGATGCTGTTGCTTTTGCTGTTCCTGTGGTTGTTATTGTTGCTGTTGCTGCTGCTGCTGTTGTCGTTGTGGCTGTTGTTGTTGTTGCTGCTGCTGCTGCTGCTGCTGTTGCCGTTGCCGTTGCCGTTGCCGTTGCCATCGTTGTTGTTGTTGCTGCTGCTGCTGTTGTTGATGTTGATGTTGATGTTGATGTTGATGTTGCTGTTGCTGTTGCTGTTGCTGTTGCTGTTGCTGTTGCTGTTGCGGTTGTTGTTGTTGTTGCTGTTGTTGCTGCTGCTGCTGCTGTTGTTGTTGTTGTTGGCCGGTACACGCCGATTCCATCGGTATTTACAGTGCTTTCGTCACTTCATGTGCCGAATATATCGGTGCTGTCGGCGTTCCCGGCATCTGCAAATTCACGATTTTTGCAAGTGCCGAAACCCTCGGTGTTTGCAGTGTTTCCTTTTGCTTGCAGTACCGAAACCCTCGGTATTTGCGGTGTTTTCTCTATGCCCAATGCCCAAAACCTAATGACGTCCACGGTCTAGTGAGTTTGAGAACAAAGCATGCCATGCCCACAACCTAATGAAGTCCATGGTCTGAACCAACCGTTTTGCGAACAGAGCATCCCTGCTCAAAACTTAATGACGTCCATGGTCTAATGCGATTGAGAACAGAGCATCCATGGCCAAAACTTAATGACATCATCTGACATCCATGGTCTAGTGCGTTTTGAAAACAGAGCATCCAGCCCACAAAACGAATGACGTCCATGGTCTAGTGCGTTTGAGAACAGAGCATCCATGCCCACAACCTAACGAAGTCCATGGTCTTAACATGTCTTAACCGTTTTGCGAACAGAGCATCCATGCTCAAAACTTAATGACGTCCATGGTCTAGTGCGTTTGAGAACAGAGCATCCATGCCCAAAACTTAATGACGTCCATGGTCCAGTGCATTTGAGAACAGAGCATCATGGTCTAGTGCATTTGAGAACGGTTTGGGTTTAGGAGGGTTATACTTAAGCCCAAAAAGTCACAAAGGTCCAAGTACTCCGCATTTCGGTCAGCCTCAAGAAAGCCCAAGCCATCAATCCTTCAAACTTCTTGTGTTTCAGCATTAAGATAAAAATGACGATGATGATGATGATGATGCTCATGCTGGCCGTCATCATGTTGCAGACCTATGTTCCCTCGAACTCCGCCCATGGCCGTCATTCTCTTGTTCATGTTGCTGTTGTTGGGAGTGCTTCTTGTACCATGCAGGCTACAGGAAACAGCACCACAATTTCACAAACACGCGCTTGTCTGAAATTTGCGTCCGGCGTTTTCCCCACACAAAAGCGCAAATTTTGTCTTGCGGCAAGGGTTCCCCCGCAAAACCGAGGCAAAGGCTACGCAGAGAAATTTCATGAACAGAGCTAACCGAGAGTGGGTTTTGTCCCACGCAGGCCACGTAAAATGCATGTCGGCACTTCCTGCGTGTCCACGCAAAAACAACATGCGCGTTTACAGGTTGATCGAGCGTTGTTGTTGTTGTTGTGTGGTAGCATACATCCGATTTTCCGTTGCGGCTCCGCGGTTCTTCAAGGGTTTTCGTGGATACATGTGTAAACTAGCTGGGGCACTGTGCTTCTCACGCGTGTCTATGCAAACAGCTCTTCAGACCGCATGGTAGGCTTCAGGGGCAGCTACTGCAAACCCTGCACCCTCAACTGTGAACAAGTTGAACCCCAAGTGCCTTGTGCCACACGGGGACCGTGGTTTGTGCAGCTTCCGGTGCAGACTCCAGAAACTTGCGGGTCTAACGGTTCTTCCCCTAGGGGACATTCAGAGCCAACCACGTTTCAATGCTATGCTAAGGACTTTGGCAAGTTATGCGCGCAAGACACAACACTTTTGTCGGCACTCGGGGAGATTTTGCCTGCACTCGTCGAAGCCTAGCAAAATGCTGAGAAATCGAACTTTTTCACCACCTCTGCAAAATGCATTGTTCACGCGGCGAGTCGCGAGAAAACCTGGAGAAAGCTCATGACCTTTGGAGCTCGAGCACAGCACACGGCAGCCGATAGACACGAACATAAGAAACGCACTTTTCAGCTGTGGAGCGAAGACAGCTTTCGTACCCACAGCATGGTGTGCTTTTTGCAGGTGTGCCTTTTGCTTGTTGTTTGGTTTTCGGGTTTTTTGTTAGAAACGTGTTAACTTTTGCAACATTCTAGAAACGCGTTCACGTAGAAGCGTGCGCAGAGTCCCTATAACAATACTTGCCATTGTGCTCTGGGATAGAGCATACGTCACGTAGAACGTAGAAACGTGGTTCCTAAACGCTGTGGGCCGCGACGTGCAATGCGCAGCCGGTTTGTCGGCCCAAGCACGGGGCAGGAAACTTACTTGCTGGGCAGCTCTTTCAGGAAGAGATTCTATGTACAAGAATATAGAAACATAAGCGTGGAACCACAAAACTCAATGGAACATAAATTTGCGCAAGTCTCCCGCATGACAATGGCACTGAACATGACCCTTAATCACGACAACCTGTCCTTAACCTAGCCTGACCAATTCCGTTAACTTGGCTGTTTAGAAAGGGGATTCTATGACATCGTGCGTGAGCCTGAAGAAGAGTGCAATGGGCACCGTCAGAACGACTGTAAACAAGGGCTCGCGGCCGATACACGTGACTTTCGGACCACAAGCGGTTGCAACTTCTGAAGCTCCCGTACTGCAACATATATGTCTTCAGTCATGCGGCTTTTGCCACTTCTTGGACTTGCCTCAGCCGGGAAGTTAGCGAAGGACTTTGACACCCAAATACGGCTGGATCTTCAAGGTGTCGGATATGCAA